TTTTCTCTTGTTGACGGGAAAGCAGAATTGTCATCTCTTACATTTTCTCTGTTTCTTTACCACCCTAATCTGCCAGAATTCTCTATTTTCTCATAGATTACTCCCGAAGTTTTAACCTTCCTAATATTTTTGTCCAAATCAACGACCATTAGATGGCGACCAAAACCGCCACACAAACGTGCATGGTTAATGTTTACAAAAAGTAAAACCCGTAACTCTTCATCTCTATGGTGGCCGAAGCGCTCGTAATCAACGCTGAACCTACGACAATCAAGCGATCCGATGGGGCAGTCATTCCACAGTTATGGCAACAATTAACATACAGAATAGTCTCGTCCGCACCCCCAATGGCAAGTGACCAATTCACACGTTTTGACCTACAGGTCAAACCAATTTTACTCGTCCTAACCACCTGTCGAACGAACAACATACACACATGCACGTACACGCATGTTCGAATCACGTCCGAGTTCTGTACGATGTCATCATCCCATCGCCTTATAATTGCTTGTAACGTGAGATTAACCGATTGAACGATAGGAGAAAGGCCTTCCAAGAGGGTCGAAACGTTGTCACCAACGCCTTTTTTTGGTTTTTCGTTCGTGGCTAAGACAAGCTGATTTCTTCAATAAACTCTTGCATCTTTTCTCAAGGAGTTTCTTTGTTTCAGGTTTTCTTCATCAATGAGCACTGGTTCAGCTTTATCCTCTCTAAACCACCCACAAAGAGTTCGATTATTGTACAAAACCATCCTCCGGTTACACCGCGCATTACCCCAAGAATTGGCGGAATTAGGAAACAAATATGTGAAGGAGGAATTTCGTCGTCATAAAAACTGTGCGCCCGAATTTATTCGACCTTTCATGCTTGAATGGAGTGTGAGTTTATTTTATTGTTTCCTATTGCGTTCTATCATTTGCCCTGTTGAGATTACCTGATTCCTTACATATTTTCACTTTTACTCAGTTTGCACTCGAAAAATTGGGCTCCCTTTAACTAGTTTCCTCTGGTTCTGTCCCAGACTGGTTACCGCGTCCATGCGTCTCATTTGCGTTGTGATCACCACATTAAAAACCATTTGCGTGTTACAATGTCTATATATGCAACACAGAATTGGGTGCCCCACTAGAGTACAAATACGAATCGGTCAAAACAACTCAAACAGGACACCGTCAGTCTCGACGTCAGCTCAACTACGAAAGGAAAAAAGAGCAGAAACGAATAGGCAATCATGTATAAATATTCCGGATTTATAAGCAAAATTTTAGTATTATATAATGATAACAACGAAAATACAAAGCCAAAACATTTCTCGAAATCGTAAACTTAAGCCACATTTGGTCGACTGTTCCTCATATAACAAATTATGCACTGCTTTTAACAGTTAGTTTTTTCGTAAAAATTTAAACATCCAGAATCTGGCAATATTTCATTGATACTGTCAATATCCACTCTGTAAGCGCAAAAGGTGTTTGTTTCGTTTTTTGCTGAAACTATATGCCCACCATTCCCTTTGTTTTAATCGACTCAGAACTACGCGTTGGAGCTGTCTAAACAAATTCGTGATGCTCCTCGAGTTGCCAGTACTAATCCGGACCCAAATTCCACAGAATTCGGTCGACCTCTGGATCCATCTATTTTTGACCAATTTTCCGAGTCGCAACTTCAACAACTGCTCACATTAGCCGAGGAAATACATTTGCGTACTGGATGTCCTGAGAAAGCAGACAGTTGATGTTGGTTACACTTTCTGCAGTAGACTGATGAACGAAGATCAAAATTGCCCTGGCGAACTCGTCCGTTGTGTTTCATAAATTGCGATTTTCGTCTCGTGTGAAATATTCACCAGATAGTGATCTATCGATAGTTCACTTCTTCTGTTCGCCTAGCAATAAACGCACGCACGCACGCGCGCACACGCATACTCATCTCTGTCTTTCTTCACTATTGAAGTGACTGTCTAGTTTTAGGAATACTTTTTCAATTATTACAGAAATCGATTTCATTTAAATGACTGTTATCGTGCATTTTTAATCGGCCAGGAGTCTTGCTTTTCAGTGTGACTACTTGAGTCAACCACTGAATTCTGTAAAAGTCATGCTGTACATAGGTGATTTTTTCCTACTACTGTTCCCCGAGTCTATCAGTTTTGGCTTTGCTACTTCGATTAGTTTGTACAGTTTATGGCTGATTCACAGATTACAGCATTTGTCTCTATATGAAGGGAATTGTGAGTGCGTAATCATATTTCTCTTTCCCGCTCTCTATTCCCACCCCACATTTACTTTGATGCTTCATGTGATCATGCATTAGTCATGTCATCATTGTTTCGCATATTCATCTATTCACAGCATGGGCGCAAATTTTGCACTATCTCGTTCAGTTTCATCACATTGTGGTGGTGGCGCAGCGGTTTAGTCGCTGTCACCGGCGTGCTTTGGACCCTGTGGTCCGAGGCTCGAGCCCCGCCACCGCCACTCGACTTTGGTGATAGGCAGCTTTTCTATCGTCCGGTTCAGTACCACGCCTAACCTAGCGGGGCCTTGTGTGGTTCGCGATTCCAAGTCCCGGGGCTTAGGTTACCGATTTCCACCACTAAATAGCAGGTCCTCGTGACGATGGGGTTCGCTCCGTCTGCTGTTCATCACACTTAAATGTGTAATAAAAAAGCATAACTTATTTGCTGGCGATTCTCCCTAATACAAAAATAACTCAGATTCGTGGGTGAATTTGTGAAGAATGGTGGTAGTACAAAGTGATGTCCCTCGTGCCTGCGTATGTTTTTCTTCAATGTTGAATATGTCATGGAAGCCAGCTATTCAAACGCTCGAATGTCAGTTCAAGGTTAAGGTTTGTGAGTATGATGTTTCCTACGGATGTGGATTTTGGTTACTGGAGACGATCGTTTGTCGAACAAAACCCTGCCACGCCCTCAAACATTGCGGCTGACCGTTCGCAACTAATGTTAAAGTGGTCATTCTCGCATCCGCAAATTGGAGACACTCTCGGCAGCTCCGTTGACCGTAGACTTGCGGTATCTCTCAGCCTCGGATTCGATAGCATACGGAATGTACTGATTCTATTGTCGATCTATTTCGAGCTGTTCAAATAGTCTGCATGCCTCGGTATGATTGGGGGTGGATATCTTGTGACTGATCTCCCTTCTCTTACACTTTGTGAAATGCTCCTATGCAAACAATCATTTCAAATACCGTTTACTGAGGAGGCTCATCTCATTGCCTTAACGGGGTAGCGTTTTTCCACTAATGTCCGAGTTTGAAAAAGCCATAATTCGGGACTGTAAGTGGTTCTGTGAACCACCAGCAGTTTATCCAGGGGAGTTGGCAAAATGCCCCCTCCAAACTTTCCGATAAGAGGTTTACAAACAGCACCCACAATTCACTGGTTGTGGTCACTTGTTCTATTGCTTTTCGAGGTGGATTGGGCGTTTAACTCAGTCCAAAGAGTGCATCGATAGGTGGGCTGGATCCCGGCCTCTAAGAGACTGCGATTTGCACCTACCACCCCTGTTGTATTGCGGGTCAGGCTGTCATATAACATAAGCTACTAGAGGCAGGGCTTTCTGGTTTTCAGTTTTGCCCCCACTGCTATATTAATATCATTACTGTTTATCGAGAGAGGGTTGAAACGTAATTTAGGAATTTCATGAATGAACTTATTGATCGTCTACCTCTTGGTGGATGCATTATCATCATCGTACAACGAGATACAATGAAGCAAACTTCACTGATCGCTGCCAAGCTCT